TTCGGCGAAGTCCTTGGCTATCAAGTGCTAAACAGGTCAAACGGAATGAGGCCCAGTGAATGCAAGCCGCTGCCATTTTCTCGTGGATTTGATGTAGGATTGGTAGGATAGACGCTCGACTGTTGGTTTGCGGTCAGGAAATGAGATATTATTTTTACCCCCAAAGCTGTGGTTGATGCACCTTTTGGTATGTGGACAGACAAGTCACTGGGCCACCAGGAAGTGACTCGTGTTACTTGGAATAAAGTGCAAATTCGGCACAGTTTGCAGTAACAGATGAGGCCATTACATCCAAGATTTGTGGTGGCCCGCAATAGCGCGAATCAGAGGTCACAGGTTCACATGAAGTCGCGCATCTGGTTGTAATTTTAAAATTACTCAGGGGTAATGTTGACCATGGCAGTCAATGCAACCACACTTTCCAGCCACTGGGGCTCGATCGTGTTGGCTTAGGTATTGATGGTGATTCTGAGGATTTGATGAAGTGAAGGCCACTGACTGCAAGCCAGACATAACTGGTTCCCGTTTAGATATCTCATTATGACTTGCCAATGTTGAGTCAACCCCAGGTCCAGTAAAAAATTGAGAAAATGAAAGAGAGTCTTGCTCGTATCCAGAACGATCTTATTAGTTGCTTGGCTGCGAGTGTGAGAGACCATGATGGCACGCATATTGTACAGTAGTATTCTAATTAACGACACGGAAGCTACACAATACTATGCTCACTTGTATAGTGTCGATATAAAGCTGTGATGATCGGAGTTTGAGACAAAACATGAAGTTCTAATAGCCAAACAACCCAAACTCTTTTGAGAAGCTCAACAGGCTCCCCGCTACTTCACACTTGAAAATCAAGTGCAGAGTTCTCAACCACTCAACCAAACTGTTAATCCACAAAAAATGGCAATGGGAATGAGGGTTGGTCCATAGAACAGCATGCTCGTGTCCAATCAATATAAAAACAATTAATAGGTCGAATGTACAAACGGATAGTAGGTGCAAAGTGCGAAGATGATTCGATCATGTTTGATAAAATCGTAAAACAGAGTAACCCAACGACCTAGCTAGCCCAGCTACCCTCTTGATCACAATCCAGGATACTTTGAAGGGGGTGTGATGGTTTCAGATGTCCTGCATCACTGGTGCACAGGCATCTAGGCGAGGATGTGGTCTCTGATGCAGTCCAGCGGGTATGTTTCACCTCGATGAAGACGTTGTCTTAACACAGCCTTGGCAGGGATGTTTAGACAATTGATCCTGTAAGCCGAAAGGATATCCTTGTCTTGCGTCAGGACTTACACAACTGACCAGCGGAACAAAAGCGGAGGATGGAATCAAAAGAAGATGGCGCAGACGTTGCTGAGTGGAATCTAGCTCAAGGATTCGTCAATAGCTGGGGATTGTTTATCGACCGCTCTTCCTGGGTCTTATTACCCTTGGGAACATGGGCTTCTCGCTATAATACTTTCTCTACGAAGTGATAGCCCAGCCATATAGCATTGCAAACTACATTGTGGCTTAGGGGTTGGCCTCTACAATTAAGCTCTGCCAATATCGAAGTCTGCGATATAATATATCCATTGACGATTGGTATCCATCATGTCCAGTTCTCGAACTACATTTGATAGTTTTGTGTGATGTAGTCATTGACTGTACGGAGTATTGGTAGTAGGAAACACATGGCAAATAAAACTACCTTCCCATGAATTTGACGAACATTTTGAGACATTATTAATTATGATCACTCTGTCTGTTGTTAATACACTACAGTTTCTCCACATAAATGAATAAAGTTTGGTTGTTCAACAAGCATAAATAATGAATGCTATGTCGTGCATGTACAACGAGGGATCTGTATGCACGAACCTGAGATTATGTACCAGTCCCTCAAAGGCTCGAAAGTGACAAGATGAGCAATCTGCGACTGTGTTCGGTTGGGGGATTCTCAAGGGAGAATGGACCCATCTCGCTTCAATCTGCTCATACTACTCGTGTTGTGCTCGGTTGTAATCAAACATGTAGATGGCTTCTAACCTTCGAAAACATTATCAGCCCCTTTTCTTGACTACCAAGGGATGGCCTTAGGCCATTAATTATTGCTTTCATTATGATCGTAGCTTATACCGGCCACCCACGTTGTAATCGGACTGTTCCTGCATATTAATAATGTGGTGCCTGGTAATATCGGAATCGCTCTTTGCGAGGAGAGCGTCGGCCGAGGTATTGAACATGAATTGGCCCCATTTATTTTAGCAGGAGCACTATAATGCATGGTATGATAGTGATCTCCGAGATTGACTCTGGAAAATACGATGAGATTGCGACACTCGCTTGGACAAAAGCCACATTCTGTGGTTGGCATTTGTGGGAAACTTTGGCTTCAAAGCTGATGGAAACCGAAAACTAAGCATGGTTGGCCGACAGCGCTAAAGCATCCGATGGTTCAGGCTTCCTGACTACGAAGGTAATAGTGATCATAGTTAGTAGTTATGCCCGTCTCTGAAAATCCCGCTCCCTGTTCTTCCTCCAAGTCGTCGAATCCACTGAAAATTTAACACAATAACTACTATCCGACCATCGAAGGGAATCTGAGGTAGAAGCACACCTTGCCTACTCGTCACTGAAGTTGAGATGTTACTGATTGAATCCCACTACTATCCATGACCGGGCGATGTGTGTGTTGCAATTTCGAGATTATTAGCTCACAAACCTTTAAGCTAGACTCCAGAGAGGCCTTTGAGATCCAATTATTAGGCTGAGACAAGCGGCACCGGCCAGGCCATGACCCGACTGCGTTTTACGTTTCAGTCTTTGGGGCTTTGTTGTGTCCATACCCCCAGTCACTGTCTCTGTGAATTATGATGGTTGCAAGACAGCAATCAGACAAGAATGAGGGCCGTTACCCACGTTGCTTAGCTGCAAATGCACCTCTGGATTTGTTTCCGCGACCCTTGTCGATCTTTTCGGCCTCAACCCTATTCTGTCAGTCTCGTCCGACGCGGAAGGGAGCGTGGGTTTGTTTTGAAGCAGGGGCGTGGAATCAACCTGTCGATGTTATGTATGTATACCTGGTAGTCAAGGGAGCCAATAGCGAAAGACTTTGTTGGCGTTGTTGATGTTCCCGTCTTTTCTTTGCAAGCTGCCGGGGAATCTTCCCATTTTATTGTTTCTTCACCTACATTATACGTAGTAATATCGCCGTTTGTGTTGAAGCCCTTCAAAAGTCACTTAGAATCAGCTCCACGGCGCCTTCCAGCCAGCTCCATACCGGCTATTAATATTAAAGAATGAGGGCGTGCACAAGCTAGCACCAAGGCTCCAAGCCTGACTGTGTTTTCGGCACTGGAGCACTCTGTGCGGAGGCACCGTGTTGAACGTAACAGTATAAACTTCATCAGACTTCTATTGTGATACTATAGGGCATGCCACTGTACAGTACAATACATTACCGTCCGGATAGAGTGGCTCATATCTCCCTGCGAGTCTGTTAACCTGGGTTCCTGGCCTGACTGCCAGAATAGAGTAGTCCAGTTTTTGGTCTTCCAGGGGTTTCTAATCTAGAATAAACTAAAGACCAAAATGTGTTTGGGTAATTGCTAAGTGACAGGGTAGAGGCGTATGTATGAGTGAAAGACCAGAAGCAGGAGGGGATTAATGACATGGAATAGAGAGCTATTGCAGGTTCCATCAAAGGTGACCTGAATCCATCCATTGCCCGTTATCGTTCCCATCTATACCTACGTGGGTTTATTTTTTTTGCAGTGCACGAGGTAGGAATGGAAGCAGAGAGGAAGACACACTGTGCCAGTTCCAGCACAAGCAAAACGATGAGCCTCCACTTGTTGTCTCTGATTGGCACGCTGAATCATGCTCTGACATTGACTCCGCTGCTCCCGTTGCTGACGAGCAAGCCCTCCACCCTCCATCCCACTTGGGTCCTCCCCAAAAGCACCGTGCGTGGTATGTGGCTGCTCTCCCGCCCTCGCAACGCCGTCGTTCACTTTTCCAGGTTGGCGCGTGCTCTAGAAGTCCAATCCCAACCTAATTGGAACCCACCCCATCTGTCCGCGCCCAGGTACTTGCCCTTGGGTTACTTTGTCCTCCTTTCCATGGGTCTCCATCTCTTAACTCACTTACTTGCCTTGTTCTTCCTTTGCCTTACTTGCTACCCAGACCCATCGGCGCGACACTCTCCCACACAACATCTCATTAAACCCCCGTATATCCTCGCTCGCCCGCTCAGATTTCCCTTCCGAAATCTTTTCCTCTTGTCGTTTTGTTTTCCCTTCATTTTGCAATCCTCCCTCCTCCCCTCTCCCCTCGCTCCACACTCCGCGGACCCATTCCGGAGTTGCCCTCAAACTCGTTTCTCTTTCCAACTCAATAGAAGCCGCCTTCTCCCCCGACGTCTCAAGTTCATCCTCAACGCGCCGCCACGCTTTCAGCTGTCCTTCGTTTTCCTTCACGAAGCCACTGCTCGCTCTTGATGAACATTGCTTTACGGCTCTGTTGATAGCTTTTCGCTTCTTGCTTCCCCTTTGTTGCTTGCTTATAGCTTTAATCTGGTTCGATTTCTTGTTTCGCGCGAAACTTCGACTTCGATCCCCCACCATCGCCTACGCCTTGACGGTTGCACTCCAGACGCCTCTCAGTCACATTCGCTTGACGCGGTTGCTGAGTCTTGAATCGCATTGCGCAGCGATTCCATTATTCCGGGCTGGTCTCGAATTTTGGTCAACAAGCATCATTCCCATCATTATTTATACTCGGATCCAGGCTGCGCCTCGACCATTTCATTCCCATTGAATCTGGCTAAAATTTTTGATTGCACCGTCATCACTTGCTCGCCACAGGTTTCGTTTGCCATCTGCCAGACTTTTCGGTTCGCTTCGCACCGACTCCCGGCCGTTGAGCGCCATCAACTCGACTGACCACCCACGGTCACGTCACTATAGACAACACTCTCAGAACACGGCAAGATGTATCCGCAACACTCCACAATGGCGCCTCAGAAGCCAGAAACTTTCATGCTGAGTACTGAGGCTCAGCAAGCTCTGCCTCATGATGCCCAAGTTGCTCTGCAGCAAGTTGACAACTGTAAGTTTTCGATGTGAGAAGATTGCCTCTTGTGTGTTCTGACACTTTGTTAGTGAAGTACTTCCTCATCTCAGCCCCTGTCGACTGGCAGCCCGATCAGTACATTCGCCGATTCTTGTTGCCAACTGGCGAATATGTCTCTTGCATTCTCTGGTGAGATAAGACTGACTGTCAATCACGGGTTTGGTCACTAACTTGACCGCAGGAACAATCTTTTTCACATTTCTGGTACAGATATCGTGAGATGCCTGTCTTTCCGATTCCAGGCTTTTGGCCGTCCTGTCAAGAACTCCAAGAAGTTTGAGGAGGGTATCTTCTCCGACTTGCGAAATCTCAAGTCTGGAACCGACGCTTCTCTGGAGGAGCCAAAGAGCGCCTTCCTCGACTTTCTCTACAAGAACAACTGCATCCGAACACAAAAGAAGCAAAAGGTCTTTTACTGGTACAGTGTCCCACACGACCGTCTGTTTCTTGACGCGCTGGAACGCGATCTTAAGCGTGAGAAGATGGGTCAGGAAGCCACCACCGTTGCTGTCAGCGAACCGGCTCTGTCTTTTCAATACGACTCGTCTCAGTCGCTCTATGAGCAACTGACTAAAGCGCAACAAGCCAACTCCTCCTCTTTCAGCGCCCAGCAGTCTGCATTCTCTCAGAGCCAGTCCACCTCCCCAGTTATGCGTGCGATGGACTCGATGCCTCCCCCGACAATGATGCCCCAGTCCATGCCCCCTTTGGCGGAGGGGATGGACGCAATGGTACCTTACGGCACGATGGCGGTGCCCCACCCAATGGCCCAAGCCGTCCCTGTCAAGAGGGAACCTGATTTCACCCGTGTTCAGTACAACCATAATGGTGTCCCAATCACTCAAGGACACCAGCGCCATGCTTCCATGCCTGCTTATGGTCTCGAGTATTCGCCAGCCCCTTCATTCGTCTCTTCTCAGTACGAGGATTACAGCAATCGAGGAATTTCTTTCGAACCCATTACCCCTCCTCAACAGGCTTTGGGTATCTCGGCTGAGCCTGCGTATATCGCCAATGAAGAGACAGGCTTGTACTCGGCCATTCCTGACCATATGGCTAGCATGAACGGCCTTAACGGCATGGTTCAGCTACCCCCTTCCAACTTAGCGGGTCCTCAGTTCTCTCGTCCCTATGGTACAAACAACGTCTACTCTGTGATCGAAGGTTCACCGACATATAAGCAGAGAAGGCGGCGTTCATCCATTCCTCCATCTATGTCGGCAATTTCGACCCCTGCTGCTACTGCCCAAGCAGCCTCACACACACATTCCCACCGGCCTTCTGAGCTTCGTCGATCAATTTCTGCCTCAGTCGGCCCCGTAGCTGAGAGTGATGAATCAGCAGACAACTCGCCCCCTGGTCTCTCCTACAGCACCTCCGCAGTTTCTGTTAATGCCCAACACCACCAGAATATGTCAAGGCACGGGACCCCCCTGTCGACCGTGGAAGGAAGCCCTGCTGCCCACTCAATGGGCATGCACCAGCAAGAGTTTCCCCATCTTGCTAGCGAGGAATTTTCTGGTGATGTCAATGATCAGAGGCGCTCTGTTCCTGCTCCCAACGGCGCTGTCAGACGCGCTCGCTCCGCCACCGTCATGGAAGTCGGTCCGTATCCTCAGAAGTCACACTCTTGCCCCATCCCCACCTGTGGCCGTCTTTTCAAGCGTTTGGAACATCTCAAGCGGTAAGTTTGCTGCCTCATATGGTATAAAGACTAAACTGAAGGATGTATAGACACGTGCGAACACATACACAAGAAAGACCTTACATCTGTCCCCACTGCAGTAAAGCATTCTCAAGATCTGATAATCTGGCGCAGTATGTTGCACACCTAACTATATAACGGAGCTGTCACTAATACCCTACACTAGACACAAGCGTACTCATGGCCGTGAAGATGGCGGAGATGGTTCCTTGAACCTGTCAGGCGAGGAAGATGAGGATTTCTCTGGTGATGACCACCTTGGCTCACTCGAAGAAGCCTCCCCACACTCTGATAGCGCCTATGTGACCGGCTCGCTGAACGCTGCTGCGCATGGCTCAACCCCACCTTCAAGTATGGCACCCACGCAATCATATAATAGTCTCGAGACACTCAGCATGCCCATGACAATGAGCCAACCGGCTGCTATCAACGCCAGCGGTATGATGTAACGGCACACCTGCGTACGATTTTGTCATTTTAGTTGCGCTCAGATGATGACTTTAAGGGATTTATGGCTTCAAATTTGGTGGAAATTTGCAATGGTTAAATGCGTGCGCTGTCCTTGACCTTTCCTTTGTTTATATTTGAAATTCTCTTTTTTACCTGGAAGCGCTTACATGTGCTTACAATATGGCCCCAATAGATTCATACTCTGGTAGCTTCTGGGAAGATTCTCAAGTAGCTCAGAGCATTACGAACGTATTAAGTTGAAGTGGACCAAGGAAGCATCTGTATATATATGGTTCCTCTTCCTTGAATAAGACTGTATTCCTAGGCATTATGCCATGGAGACCGTGCAGACTAGGAATGGCTACATGTGGTAGATTAAAAGAAGAAACTGTTGCCTTTTTCATGCCATTTTAAAGGCAGTCGCTTGAAGTGGTGACGATGTCTTGCTGGGCGCACGAAAGTGGGTTCTAAATACTGTGCTAACGCCGGCTTCTTCTACCAAACGCATCTCTGCCCCCTTCTACGCTCTTGATATCCTTGTCGCTCAGGCGTAGTTCTGCCCCCTTGAGTCTACCAACTCCCGGTCGGTCGACAGCAACATCCCTTCCCCTATCTCTACGCCCCTTCTTCTTACCAGTCTCTCGTTCGAGGATCACTCCATTCTCCTTAGCTTCTCTCCGGCGCTTTGCTTCTCGCGCGTCTGCCGCAGCAACAATACCCTTGCGCATGTTCATGGGCATCTTTTCTTGCTTGTGAATCGACACTTTGGACCCTAGAGCCTGGACGCGCAAGTCCGTAGCCTTTTGACGAGTGCGGCCTGTGGCAAAAGCCTTTGGTGCAATAGTGGTACCCGATGCTGAAATGGCCGGCGTGAGAAGATGCGATTCTGCAAGGAGTCGTCGGAGTTCAAGGTCTTGGGCTAGAAGGGAGGGTGCGTCCTCGGGGAGGGTGTTTGAGGGTGATGAAGTCGCTGATAGAGACTGCTCGGTTTTGGGTGTTGTTTGCTCTGGAGGTCGTGATGACTGGGGAGTTTCCTGTTAGTGCCATGTCCTGGAGTGATCGATACGACGCAATCCATACCATGAAAGCTTTGAGCTCTCGTTTTGACATTACCGCTTGTTTCGGTGGTTGCTTGTTCGAATGGTCTACGACCTGTATTGTTGGACTATGTTCTTCCTCTGTGACAGAGTCCTCGCCAGAGAGGCCACTCCATTCGCCGTCATCCTCGTCACTGTTGTTATCCTCATCTTCCTCGCTCTCGATGTCGTTGCTGCTTCCCTTATGTTTCGCCTTCTTGAATTTCGATTTAGCGGCTTCTGCCTCTGGCAAGGGCGCAAATTCCGCCTCGAAATGTCGTCTGAAAATGGCTGCAGCATCTTCTTGGGATATTAGAGGCTCAGGCTCAGCCTTGCGCTTGCCTAAGATAGCCATTGCGGGCGGATTTGATTCAAGGTCAGCAATGGTAAGCACCGGGTTGGGAAAATGATGTTGCAAGGAAATTTTGGCTGCTGCTGAGGTACCGAGTAATTTTCAGCCTCGCCTCCCACTATAACAAGGCTGCCCCGCTATGGATGCCCGTGATCGAGTGGTAAGGTATACCTACGGGGTAGTTTATGATCATGGTAAGTATTACAAACAAAATAAACGCTTGGTATGTGATATTTAAGAATCAAGAAAAGCCAGTGGTGTTTGGGAGACCCTTTGATGTACTCGATACTGATTATCTTATATATGCCTGGTCTAATGGTAGGCCGATATACCTACTGACCTTGCAAACGCCAGGAATTTATTGAAAGTGATGTCAAGTCCCATGGTATCTATCATGCCAAAACGCCAAAAAACACAGTATAGGCGGATCAAACTTTTCCAGCAAGCCTTGCCCTTCTCGAGTCCTCTTCTCTCAGGGCCTCGCTCTTTGCTAAGAAATCCTCTCTGGCCATGTATGAATCTTTGGACTTGCCAGCCAACTCAAGCTCATCCTTGATGCCTTCCTTGTCCACGTAACCAGCCCAGTCCATACGACTCTTCTCGACAACATTGAGTTTCTTGGCTTGTGCTTCTTTGCCAGCCTTGATCCGGGCGGCCAATCCGAGATTCAGATCTGCCCGATGGGGAAGAAGATCTACCTGAGGCTCGAAGGCTGATCGGAACGCCTTTCTGGTAATGCTCTTTTCAGGGCTATTTTTGGGCGCCTCTTGACCTTGTGAGGCAAGATAAAGCTTTGCTTCGGCTGAGTCACGCGGAACCAGCTTTTCCTCTGTGTGAATTCGACCAGCAAAGTTATACGAGCGTTTGATTCGTATCATTGTTGACGAGTGGTCGGATATTGTTGGGTGCGATTTGTTCTCAGCTGAGTCGTTTGGGTTGTTGATGAAGTTGGTACTTGTGTCTGCGTCGTTGGGTCGCTCGTCCTTGTTTGCCGGAGTTGGTGGTTTAGATATCATTTGCGCCCATAGCGCATCAACATCAATAGTGACTGGTTCGTTGTTTGTCGCATATTGACGCTCTTCTTTCCTGGTAGTCCTTGTCAGTGAAACACACCGAAGGATGTAAATACTAGAGACATACTCAGCGGCACGCTGTCTACGAGTCTTGATCAGACCGCCCTCACCCTCGTCGTGGTCATGTACGCCTTTTGCTTGCGTTTTCTTACGACGCTTCTCACCCCTTTTTATGATCGCTTCATCACCCGAGTTGTCATATCCTGCATCGGCTTCATCGTGTGGGCGACTTCTTTTGTTGGCTGTTTTGTCGCTGGAATCTTCTAAGTCAGAGTGATCGGAAGTTTGGTCGGGCGAATCATCCAGAGCGAAGTCTGAGTCTTCTGAGGATACATATAATTCATCTTCGTCCAATAAAGAGTCTGGAGGCATTATGGCAAATGTGATGTTGGAACTTGGCGCCCTATTATATCTGTCGCGTGAAGTTGAATAACTCAGTGAGGTAAGGTGCAGATCTGCGCGGGTTTAAGAAGTGGGTCGTGGTAGGTAGCCAATCAAGCAATCAATCAATATATGCATTGCATTCATCACTCACCTAGTGATGGGATACACGAAGTATACTCCTTGTGGGGTGCTTGCTCTAATCCGTACCTATTCAGCGACTTCATCTAAGATCGATATCATGAACTAACCCTAGTGTTTGGGTAAAACAAGAATGCACCTGTACCATGTGGTTATTCAAACTCCAAGGTCCTTTCATTAAGAGTGCGAGTAAATCAATAAGGGAGCAGGGGTGCTTCCAGATGGGAGAAGCTACGGCAAACCGAGTATTTCTAACAAATTCTACTCGGTAGCAAGGATAGACGACTGATGCATTTCTTTCGTAGGGATGCGTATAGAGTACCTGGCAGTCCATCTGGCGGTGAAATGAAAACGGCGCGAGACCAAACTTCACCATATTGACATGCCTCATGAGCAGCACAAGGATTAATGACACTTCAGTCACAACTGGTTACTCGTCCTAAAGATAGTGAGAACTGTTATCGACTATAGAAATATAAGAGACTACGCAGACTGGCCAGTAACAACGAGCACGGTGGCTTTCGTAATAGCATTGAGTGAGAGGATGTATCATTTCATGTGCCTATCTAGTAGATATTCTTCGTCCTGAACTAGGAGGAAAAGAGCCGGAGAACCAGGGGTGGTAGACAAAGCCAGCCAGCGCTGCGCCCAGGCAAAGTTCAACCAGACCAGACCGCCTGACTGTCTGACTACTTCTTTCGTAAATGACTCCCACCTTCTCGGCCCCACGTAACCTTCTTCTTTCTTTCTTTCTCTTCTTCCTAATTGACGATTGATAACCAAACTATTTGCCATGAGTTCCGACGATGATTTCGAGATCGAAGTTTCCGAACTGGCAGCAGACGATCCTATGAGAGCTTTCTTGCCCACATCATTTGGGAAGAAATCGAAAGAGACAGATGTCGCAGCTCAAATCGAAAGAAGTCGCCGAAAAGTCGCAGAAGTCAGTGGTGGGAAGAAGAAGAAGAAGAAGCAAGATTCTAGTGATGACTCCGACAGCGACAACAGCGACGATTCCGACCAAGATGAATTCCCTCTATCACACGAGCTTGTTCTTAAAACCCACGATCGCGCTGTCACTACAGTCTCACTAGACCCAGCAGGAGGACGCTTAGCAACTGCGTCCACAGACTGTACTGTCAAGTTGCACGACTTTGCTTCTATGACTCCCAGCACGCTGAGATCTTTCCGATCCGTCGACCCCTACGAAACGAAGGCATCCGACGTTAACTCGCAATCGCATCCTATCCACCGCATAGAATTCAACTCTCTAGCAGGAGGCGTCTTGCTTTGTGTGTCAGCGCATCCCCAAGCGAAGATACTGTCGCGGGATGGCGATATTATTACCGAATTTGTTAAGGGAGACATGTACCTTCGTGATATGCACAACACCAAGGGCCACATATCCGAAATCACGACTGGCACCTGGCACCCCACTGACAAAAACTTGTGCGTAACTGCGGGTACAGACAGCACACTCAGAATTTGGGATATCAACAATAAGCGGACGCAGAGAGATGTCGTTGTGTTCAAATCCAAAGCCGCTGGCTCTGCTGGTCGAACCAAGATGACCGCTGTTGCATGGGGATCTTCACCCCAAGGAAACAGCAACGTCCTTGTCGCAGCAGCTTTGGATGGCTCGCTGGTCATGTACAGTGGCAATAGTCCTTTCTCGCGACCTGCAGGAGAAATTCGCGACGCACATAAACCGCAATCGTGGACCAGTGGCATTGATGTATCGTCCGACGGTCGCATGGTAGTCACAAGAGGAGGCGATGATTTGATCAAACTATGGGACACTCGTAAATTCACGAAGCCTCTCGTCACAGTCGCGCATATCTCAACCTCAGACCATTTCCCTACGAGCAACATCAAGTATGCGCCAAACTCGACAAACATCATCACGGGCTCCGCGACTGGCCATCTCCACATTCTGAATCCTGGCAATCTGCGCGCAGAACATGTCACTGAAATAACACCTGGGTCACCACTAATAACAGTGGATTGGCATCCGAAGATTAATCAGATCGTTACAGGTTCAGCTAATGCCGAGACTCATGTCTTGTACAACCCGCAGATGTCGAGTAGAGGCGCTGTAGACGTCATGTCACGAGCACCGAAGAAGCGACATATTGACGACAATCCTGAATTAACAATGGACCAGTCTGTTGGCGTATCTGGTGATGCGATTGTAGTGCCAGGTGCGACAAGAAGCTCAAAGCCATCTGGGGTTACAGTATCAGGCCGCTCGAAAGATCCTCGACGCCCCCACATCCCTCAACAGACACCATTTCAGAAGAACCAGCCGGACGAGAAGCTCATCGCAGAGAATATTCCTCTTGCGCGCATGCTGCACGAAGATCCACGAGAAGCTCTACTGAAATACGCAGACAAGGCCCAGAGTGACCCTATGTTTACGAAAGCCTGGAGTAAGACGCAGCCACAAACCCAATACGCGGAGCTGAGCGACGAGGAAGATGGCCCCGACAAGAAAAGGCTCAAGAGGTGAGACCACTAACACACACTGGAGGTTATAGGGGGCTTAAGATTGTGTCTGGAACATACAAGAGCCCAGTAAGAGCCTACGACGTCCTTAGGCCTCCCCAGCTCGTGTTACGCGGTAATTGATTGATTTGAAGCCATCCACTTCTCACTGCTCGGTGAGATAGATCTAGTCATCACGGTAAAAATAACACATTAGCTTTTCTCCCTCTTCCAGGCAGAATGGATTCTATTTCTCTTCTATCCAATATCAACACCCAGAAAATAAGCCATTTGATATATGCTTTTATCATGAGTCAACCATTCCTTTTGCTTATTGGTCCTTATGAGCCGAAAGAGCACCCCGTATGTATTTCTGTGGGCCTGACACCGGCGTTGATTGATTGGCTGCTGATCTTTTTGACATAAATACGAGCCTTCCAGGAGGCACCGCAGCATAAGTCAAAGTCGTGATCTTTAAGCTGCATTATCAAGGGTACTTTGGTTTGTCCTATAGATATATGTAAAGAAATACATCCCTGATACTGATATTTTTATGGGATAGACCCTAAAGAGATACCTCGGAGGTGCTATTCGGCTCCTCAGGGATATAAAAAGACTGCTGTGTTCTCTTCAGTGTGACTGCACCAGAAGATTCAGTCCAGCCAATGCAGAATAAGAACTTTGATTACCTAATACCCGTTCTTGGCTGCCTCAGGCGCACTGCGTAAATTTGGGCCGCTTCAGTCTGACAGGGGGGCCGTGCTGAAAAATACTCTGGCTGGCCGACTCAAGACCGCACCAACCATCACGCTGCATCTTGTTCAGTTGTGCCTTCACCACTCCCCATCATCAACCGGCGAGCGCGCGCATCCAAAAAATCGCCAGGGCCCTTTTAAATCATCGGCTCTCATCGAGAGAAACCACCGAATCCGTGTTGCACGCGATTTTTACGCCGCCCGATCCCCTGTACCGATTCAATACGCGCCCTGTCGCCACATCGCACACTTTCCCTTCAGTATTCGACCTTCGGACCATCGAGTGTCCATTCCCGTGCCTCTAGCAACTCACTGCAATCGCCGCGTTCCAAACTTGAAGGTTGCTCCACGCCAAGGCTATTCCACGCGCCATCTCCAACGTGTCGCCAATTCCTTGACGAATCCTTCCAACGTGTTCTTGAGCATTGTCCTTTTTGCTTCGATTCCGACGCGTTCATTATCCCTTAATTAATTTCTGCGTCAAGTATTCGTTTTCGCGACGCCGAAGCACGTCCCATCTTGCGCGACATGCCCCATAGGTAGCTGTATCTTCACAACTAATTAACCGATTTGACTATCAAAAAGTCAACGCGCCGTACAATTCATTCACCATGGCGTCGGTGCATGCACCACATGCTGTTCAGCACCCAGGCGCGCCAATGCCTGCTGGCGCGACCAAGCAACAGGCAGAAGAAGTTTTCAGGGTATGCTCTCATTATGGACTCTTTCTTCTTCTTTCAATACATTTATTGCTTCGGACTATCAATGCTGATACGTCATATAGAAACTTAGGCAGATGAAGGAGCAAGGCGTGCCACCGTCGGACCCTGAATACATCAAGGCTTCACAGTTCTTGATGAGTTTCCAACAGCAACACACCATGCGACGTAACCAGCAGCAATTCCTGCAGCAGCAACAAAAGCAACAAATGCAGAATGCAACAAACGGTACGCCTACAAACAGTGTTATGCCTGGACGTTCTATGCAGCAAGGTTCGCCTCAATCGACTCAACCCCCTTCTAATCCGCTCGGTGCCTCCGCAATGCCAAACCAAACGACTCCTACTCCTGCATCTACTGGAACGTCTCCATCGACTGCACCATCTTCAAACCATTTCACGCAGCAACAGCTCGGTCTACTTCGACAGCAGATCCATGCTTTCAAATTGCTGGGGAAAAACGCCGGAGTCTCTCTACAGCTGCAGCAGGCCATATTCAACCAGCGCCTTCGTAGACAAGCTGCCATCGCCGATGCTGCGCAGGTGATCCAAGCGACTAAGTCGAACCAGGCAGATCCCGAATCCACTAAAGATGGACAGAACGGACCTGGAGCTGTGACAGAAGACGAGGGCTCGGACGTTCCTAAGGCGCATACATTCAAGACAGTAAAGTCCCCCTATGGCACCAGTATGATTCGCCCCGAAATCAAGTACTTTGATCATTCACAACGGAAGAATCGCTGGTTTATTCCTGGTGTATTCCCTACTGGTATTGATTTTGATCATTTGCGATACGAACGAGAAGTTGTTGTCTCGAACAGGATGAGACAGCGATATGCCGAGTTGAAGAATCTGCCCGGTGACTTGGCCCACTGGGACTCTTCCAAGGAAAC